GAGGGCGCCCGCCGGCCACGTGCCCTGCGCAGCCCGGCCCGGCCGCCCGCGGGCTCTGGCTGCAGGAGTGAGGCTCGGTGCTTTCAGGCACATGGTGTGACTCTTGGGGATGTCCCATGCGGGGCTGGTGTGACACTCGGGGATGTCCCATGCGGGGCTGGTGTGACACTCGGGGATGTCCTGTGCAGGGCTGAGAGTCGGACTGGATCATCCCTGTGGGTCCCCTCCAAACTCAGCATAATCTCCGATTCTGCGAAAACAGCAATTACCTTACTGCCAGCTAGTAGCTGTAGACACTTAGGTAACATGCAGGGAGACTGCAAGTGAGATTAGCTACTACAGAGGTGGTCGTCTTGCAGGTCAAGAGGATGTGGTTTAATGCAGTTGCTCCAAACCAAGGCATTCAAACAGAGTGTAGACTCATGAGAGGCGTCATTGCAGCAACTGTTCTCTACCTGCCCACCCAGTGAGCATGGACAGCACAGGATTCTTACATAATGCTCTCAGATGATGCTGTATTTGTTTGTGACCACACTGTAAGGAAGAAGAAGGAACAAAAGCCCAGACAAACATCCATACGCAGTTTCTCAACATTAGCTGCAAGAGCGTTGTGTCAGCTCATGCATGAAAGTTTTCTTAAGGCTTCCTCTGCTATTAGCTACTGCTTGAGGCAGGAGGATGCTCCTCACAGGTCCAGCCACAGCTTTTGTTTTTTTACAGCAATGTCTGTGCATTGTCCTACCTCTTGTCTCCATTCCTGTCCCCACATCTGCCAGATAAACTATGCTTTTGCACATTTTAATACTGGGTAGGTATGAGCACATCTGGATTTCATTTCTTACTCTTTTGCACACACGCTGTTTACCTTCCCTTGAGAATGTGCTTCAATCCAACATGGAAACTGGTACTTAGAAACAAGTAAGCCCACCACCTCTTCCTCTTAGTGTAACTTCATTTTGTTAAAAGATCTGGGCTCTGCTAAAAACAAGTTCTCCCTAACTGTATATGCAAAACATTGGCATTGAAATAAGCCTTGGTATTAAAACAGCTGTTGCCTAATATAGCACTCTGCGTCTTACTTTCATGAAGAAATACTGACTATTGGTATTTTCAGGTGACTTTCTAGAGCCTAGTGAGAATCAGAAGAAAGAAAATCTCTTACCCTCCTCAACTTCTCAGTCAGGGCTGAAAGCTCTGTTTCCCTTAGGATGGCATATTTAAACATGAGTTTATCAGATGCTTTGTCTACTTCCTTGTTCTCCCCAACTGCATTTTACAGTTCTATCTGTGCCTGCTTGATTATATCAGTATAAAGATACCGATGTCTCCAGGATCCAGCTTTACATGCACTACCAGCATTGCTAATGCTGAGATCACTGATACACTGAAGTCACAAGGGGTTTTTTAGAGTAAGATCATTGTCACACATCTTGGTTTGGCAAGGCCATAACCAGCACATCATGTGCTGATAAGATTAAAAACCCTCACTGCACACATAACAGCAGCAGCCACAGACTGGCAGAGCTGTACTTCATCTCAAATGCAGCCAGCAGGCTAGAAAACAGCATTTCCTCGCTTCTTCTCAGGTGAGAAAAATACTCAGATGAAGATCTTAAACACCAAGGATCAAGCAGGTCAGAAACCTGGACAAGAAAGCACTTAGACTGCCCTTTCAGGGTACTGTTCTTCCACAGTGTAGCAGCCTGCACCCATAGCCAGAAATACACGGTTGCTGCCCTGCTAAATTTATAAGCAGTTGTCTCTTCCCCTCACCGCATCCTATGCTTTGCTTTAAACATCCTTCTTTTAGATAGCCCTCCCCTCTGGCTTCACAGTCTGCCCTGCCCATTACTGTTTGAAGGTAACTTGTAATTCATCAACTCTTTCCTCCCCAGACCCACACAACTCCCAGCAATCCTAAATTAGAAGTTGTGGAATCCAGCAGAAGTAACACAGACCATGGTTTTCCAAATAATTTCTGCATCTCGGTTGATTGACTTTTTAGCTGTAGCACAAGCACAGGTCATCACTTAAAGAATCTACCAGGGATTTTGCTGCTTCACTTCAGGCAATAGAAACCAATCTTCAGTGGAAGACTTTGCCACTTGTATTAGGAAGAGAAAGAATCTATATAAAGTATCCTTTTCTGCTTTGTGGCACCTGTTGTAGCTTTCCATGCCTTATGCTCATACTGCAGGCTTCTATTAACATGCTTTCTCTCTGCTACTGTAAAACTCTGTAAGAATTTGATACTTTAGAGCTCTGTCAAATTTTGTTGAAACTTGCTGCCAATTTAATGTTAACAGTGACAAAGCACATGTTCTACCTGGTTTCTAAATTAAATCAGACCACTTCTTGCCTTATAAATGTATTGGCAAACAAAGTATTCCATAGCTGTTTACAAAATGTACCTATATATTAAGTGAATTATTAATCTTAGCTTTCTCTTAACTCTGTATGAAAAAGCCATGTAAGTCTGCCTTTTGTATTTCATTGATCTTAAAGTGCTTGCCATCCTTGCCAGAATTCCTTACATAAATTACTGTATACAATAGTGATGTGCACATTATATTTTGTGTGTTGTCAAAGATCCATTAAGAGTTAATTGTTTCAAGAGAAAGCACCTTCACTCAATTTTTGCTTTTTGAGGCAAGACTGCTTTGCATCTTTTTGAAAAGCTTCAAAAGTCCTCAGTCTTAGGTGAGTGTTGAAAGAGGACCTCAGTACACAAAACTTTCAGATACTGTGAATAATTTGTTCTGCCTGTGCCTTGCATTTGATTTGCTTTGCTGAATTTCAGGGGTGCTTTTAGTGGGAGGATAAATACTTGAGTATGTTTCTATGGCAAATTCTGAAGCTGTTAAACATCAGCTGGAAACAGGGCCCACAGGAATTATCATGTCTACAGGAAATCCAAGTTCACGCACTCCACACTCCATTTCATGCCAGTAGTTGCATAGCACTATTAAAAAACAAAGCTCCTACATTAACCTGGTAACATATTTACTCTTAAGATGAATACTTACACACCCAATATTTACTGCAGCTGTGTTTATTGTAGCACATTTACAATATGTAAGCATTCAGACAGAACATGTTTAATGTCCTCTGCAGAATTATACATTGTCACACAGAGCTACAGCACCGTTGCTCACAAATGGAAGCTCTCTAAAATATGCTTCCCTTTAGTTTTCTATTCTGCTCCCAGAATGAATATAGAAAAGAAGGCATCCATTAAATATTATCACAATCAACAAAGAATATAAACTAAGTTGTCAGAACTGAACTTTTACAAGAGCTAATGTTTCAGCCAGCCACTGACAGTAGCAGGTTATTAAGTTTCTAGGAAACATCCAGTTTCTAAAGTGTGGAGAGATAAGACTCTCAGAGACATATCTCCTCTGTCTTTAACTTAGTTTAGACTTCAGGTTTACAGACTTGTATTCCAGAGGAAAAATTCAAATTTTTAAAAAATAGATATTTTGCAAAGGTTTTTGTCTGATTTTTCCTTTAAAAACGTAAGATCCAAACACTGTTAAGCTGAAGACTGTAACTGACCCTGCTCAGTGCTTGATACATGAGAACATTTCTCCACTCAGCTCATCCCTCTAACTTCAGTCAGCCTGGCATATCCCAGCTCTCTGAGAATAGATTGTCACTTACATCCAGTGGTACTTGTGTTTAAAGAAATATTTATGTTATGCTTTCAGCTATGTTTGAATGGCTTGCATATCAACTCACTGTAATGACTCCAGAAACACATTACACCAAATTTCATAGTATTTATTTTTACTGTGAGTGCAAACAAACAAAAAATGCTGAGGGCTCTAGTGAGCTTCCATTCATTCAGTAACAGGTCAGCCACAGACAGGTAATGCCTGCAGTACTGAGGGCTAGGTTGGTGCTCAAAGCCGAAGTTTTCCGGCACTAGTTCTACTTATTGTTGAAAGTTATTACGTCTATATTCTACTCTTATAATCTAGGCAAGTCTGAACACAGACAGGTTTTTATGCCCTTTGCATTCTAGCACAATTTAACTGAGGAAACAAATAGAATAAAACTAATAAAAACCATCCCCAAGCCCTCTGAACTAGCAGTGAATGTCTAATCAAAAAAAAATCTGTAAGTTTAGCATAAATTTCTGCCACAGGCCTGTTTTTTGAGAAAAGCAAATTAAGTCTTCAGAGATAAAGTTTTCCACCAGATCCATTGTCCAGTTCTTGCAATGTGTGCTGCTTTAAAGCCTCCATGATATGCTCCCACAATCCATTAAATATGTTCACTACAACCTGTACAAGAGAGGAGGGGGGAAGCTGTCAGGTACATGCATCAAAATAATAGTTTCACTGTACAAGGAGCCTGAAAAATGCAACTGAACTATTAAAAATTTGACATTCATTGACAAGAAACTGCTATGAACCACCAGAAAACATTCTGAACATGATGTTCACTGCTCTCCTGGATGCCTGATCCCCACTGCACAGTCAGTAGGAAAATTATTACATCCCAACCCTGTCCAATTTTATGCTGGCCTTCTTGTCTGGTAAAACTGAGAGGTGTGTGCACAAAAGGAAATATTAATGTGTCCATGCCCTTTACCCAGGAGCAAGATGCCCTGCTCTGCTTCATCCCACACTTTTATCTCCAGTAAGACACTCGGTCAGAACAGGGGCTGGCTCTCAGCAGGATCTGTCATCTCCCTGCTCCAAAATATGTCCCCATCTCTTCCCTCTCATAAATATGTTCTATCAGGCCTGTAACAGTACAGCCCACCAGAAAAGCCCAATACCACAGAGTTGCACCTTTGATCTTTTTAATCAAGTGGCAAATGTTTCTCAGCTCCCCCACCAAAAGACTCTTCAGCAAGGAAGACTCAGACTTGCTGCCAGCCAGGTTAAATATAAACCACATATCCTGCAATCAGTATTCCTGAAGAAACACAGCTTCAAATAACTGAAGCATTTTCTCTCCATAATGGAAGTTAGGGCAATGTTTTCCAAGTGCTGTGGTAGTATCTTAAACTGCATGCTGTCTTAAAACCTGGACAAGCTGATTTTCTCCCCAAGTTTCAGGCCTGTTACCTGCACAAGGTGTGATTAAAAAGTAGATAAGAGAACACTGGATGAGTTCTCTTAAGTCCTGCTTGTTGCAGTGAGTACAGGAAATGTCAATGCATACGCATTAAACATATGGGGTTCCCAAGCTACTCTAAATATTATCCTACTTTCTGTATAATTTTTCACATGTTAAGTGATTCTTAATTTGGAAGTTCCCTCACATCTTCTTAGAAATTTGTCAGCTGCAGTGCTCTGTTCATTAGAAATAGTTTGGGATTTTTGTGTGAGTCCCCCCACCTGCCCCCCAACACTACTTCCCCCAAAATTTAAGTACTTGTCATAAACATTGTACCAGGGACATGTTTTAGCATGCTGCTTTTGCATATACCTTAATAGATCATTTTAATATAGATACATACCATTACAACAACAGAAGAGAGATGCAGAACTTTCCTCCTCTAACCTGTACCTCCCAGAGTTTGGTGAGTCTTTGCACTGTGATATAAATCTCTTAAGTTCTGTCTCAGGAAAGCCATCTTGCTGGTAGTGCTAAAAATTGATACTTAATTAAACCTTTGACAAGGATAAAACCTAGGATAATCCAAATTCCCCCCAGACCACTTTTGAGACACTGCTCAAGTCTGAAATTAGAAGATTCATAGGACCTAATGTGAAAATACTGCTTTTTAGATATTTAGCTTCCATTGGAGCAGAAAAACAGACAGACTTTTTAAGAAAAACAAAGTAGAGAGGGATTAAAAACCCTCCTGTCATCACTTTGTACTCTCAAAAGTAGTCATACTTGTTCTTTAGATTGGTATGCACTGGAAGTTAAAACATTGAGAGAGATGAGAGTTTTGACAGCACCAACCTTGCACTATTATTCCAAATGAACAGTCTGTGCTCACCTTGACTGTTTCATATGTATCTGTAATGAGTGCAATGAAGAGACTCAGCACCATATAGATGAACAGACTGATGAAGGAGTAGAGGTAGATCCTACTGAATAACCAAACCAAGTAACTTTTCTGCTGCATCTGTGCAAAGGTGGCAAACATGTCATCTCCGTTGATCAATGAAAAAAGGCATTCAGAAACCATGTTCAGAGTGCGAAACTAGAGAGGAGGGAAGACGACAAGGATGTGTCACTGCTTTACTTGGACACAAAGACTGTACACAACATGAAGAACATACACTGCTGATGACTGACTGCCTCAAATAGCTTCCTACACCCAGGGGATGACAAGGTGCAAACAGTAAAACATCTGAGGAACAAGCAGAGTTTGTCACCTCCTATACACATGCACATTTGATTCAGATAAACAAATTTATCTTTTAAGAGAGATAAGCATAATGTCTCCAAAGTTTTAGTCAGATTCCAGTGTTCTGCAAAATGGAAATTATTTCTTAAAATATCAGCATGTGATTGGGAGTCATTACAGCTTCCACTTCTGACTTGGAGCTTTCATAACTTGAGGAAAGTCTGATTGACTCATGGAAGTCAGACTCCTCAAACAGAAGAGCATCATGTTGGAGATGCACTATTTTTACATTAAGGGAAGCCTTGACATGGAGAACTAGAAAACAACAGTTGTAATCTCTCATTCTGTTATCCAAGCTGGTTTTTTTTCATGGTCAGAACATTACCTTCACATGGTATGGTCCCAGTACAATCCATCCACAGAAACAATAGCCCAGGTAGATCATAGCAGCACAACAGCAGAATCTCATTACGTTGGGTAATGCTGCTCGCAGTGTTAGGATGAGAAGCTGCACAAAGCAATGCAAACAGTTAGAATTCAGCCAGATACTTCTTCCAGTCCTCTTATAGCAACAAACAGAATAAATACCAACAGTATGAAGATCCCAGGAGATCCTTACATTATACTTCTGAAAGAAACCTAGGTAGCGAATGACTCCAAGCCACACAAGCATAGTAGATATTCCTAAGAGGATGCTGCAGACATCATAACTTGTCAGACTCTGAAAAAATGCAAGAGAAAAAGCAAAAATATTAGAAAGGGAAAAAATTAATTATTGTAACAACTGACAGCTTCTAAATTGTGACTCCCATTACTACAAAGATTTATTAAGAAACATTTTTCCTTTGGCAAACTCTCCCAATTAGAAATTCGTTTGAGGCAATATGCATTAGAGAGAGGTCCCACAAAAGAGCAGGGCCACTTTCAAGTGCAACTCATTTCATGAGTTGCTCATGCCTTTACTCATGGCTGTTTGTAAAACAGATTCTCACAAGATGAGCTTTATTTGTAAGGCAGGTGCACTGCAGAAGCAGACACCTCCTCTGTACCCAGCTCACCAAGATCTGCAGTAGCACTGCAAACATTTTTATGCTGCTTCCAGACTTGCAGCAACTGCTTCTGGAATCTGTACTGACAGATTCCTCAGAGCATCTTAGGAATCTCAGCACTGCATCCCAATGGACAGGGTAAACATGACACAGGAGAAAAAAAAGTTCTTCCAGTACATAGGAAAAGCTCTTTGTCAAAATTAGCATGACTAGTCAGCATTGTTCGGATAAATACCCAGGAGGATCTTGTTATGTAGTTGGGATCTATGAGCTATATAAAGCTATCAAGGAGAAGACTAATTAGATTCTATTGAATTCTATCCAGAACTTATATCTATTGGCACTTTGCTGTTTTTTCCACCTATAGATACTGGCCTGTTTTCATCCAAATTAGCATGTACTCTGTTCCTGAACTGCAGCTCTCCTCTGACATGGATCATGACAGCTGATTTGAAAAGAAGTTTTCATTAATTTCTGTTTCTATTCTCCTAAGAATAAAATGTAAATAATAGATTTTGGCGATGGGTATTGGCTAATCTTTCCTATCAGCATAATTCATTTAGAACTTGACAAGAAACAAATTTAGGCTGCTTTAATGTGTACATGTTATTCAACCACTTTCATACAGTAACATGGAACAAGATCTTATTATTATGTTCCACAAGGCTTGCAAAATTGAGCAAAATGTAACCTGTAATGAGGAGTTTTAATAAAATACTCTTACATACATAAATGGATGTCTTTATTATATAAGATACAGGAATCCCAAATGAAAGATCTTATTCCAATCTTGTTATCTTCTTTGCTTTTCCCAAAGCAGGATGGAGCTATCTCTTAGCTGACTTCCTCACAGCTGCTTTCTACTCTCAGTGAGTTTATAGTACTGTGGTGAGACAGGGCAATTTGTACAGGGTGTTTGTGACAGTCAAGCTGTCAGCAGATGGATTTCAGACCCATCCTTTCATCATTACTGTCCAAAGTCCACTATGTTGCAATGTCACACTTCAAAGTCTGCTACAGATTCTGTGAAGAACAATATTATCTGAATATCAGAGTGCTTCAGGATAGCATGTTATAATATTTTTTCTTCCCTAATTCTGTAAAACATAATGTTCTACAAGTTGTGAGTTTTGTCCATATTAAGTTTATTTTAGAAAGTGAAAATATTTAGAAATTGAAATCAGCCACTGCTATGGCTGACTGTTACGTACATGCTGGAAAACAAAGGCTGGGAAAGCAGCAAAGTGATATTTAAGGAGAGAGACTCTGTTAAACACTTGTAAACAGAGTTCCAAAAGTTAAATGCTGAATTTGAAAAATTTCATCAAATGAGCAAATATAAGTGAGGAAGGGAGGAAGTTAACAGTCAGACTTTCAGAGATGAACTGCATTTTATTCCTCAGAGTCACAGGGAGCAAAGATAATTCAGCACTATAATATAGAGTGATATTTGAAGTTTTTAAATCTTGCTACTAGAAACAACTCACATGACTTGCATGTCGTGCGACTCAGAAGCAAGTACAGCCAGCCTAAAGTTCTCTGAGAGGTTTGAACCTAGGTTGTACAGAAGCAGTTTTGCTTCCATCTGACAGTGTGACAAGCCTACCTTAGCTTGTATCTCCATCTTTAAAGTTGATCCAACAATAGTTAGGACATCGCTAACCATAATCAGGATGTACCATCCATTGACAAACTCCATTTGATCACTGAAAGATACTTCTTTCTTATAATAATATAGGAAAAAGCTTACAAATTCCTAGGGGAAAAGAGGAAAGAAAACAGTTAATCAGGCTTACACAAGACAAGACTTTCCAAAGAAGGAGCTATACCCACCCTTTGGAGCCAAATTCCTTTAATCACTGATCGTGTGCAAAGAATCAATGAAGCCAGACAAGTCAATATGACAAAAGCATCGAAGATCATCATGTAATGAGTATTCTTCTGTACTGCAAGAACAAAAATGTACATGTTTATAGTGCATTCATTCTTGTTGACCATCACTGCTTTACTGAAGTAAAAATCAAGTTTTGATGTTAAATAAATTTATACAACTGAATTAAGAAAAATCTTAGCATTTTTTCCCACTAAAGTCTATCTGACATATTATATGAGAGATGCAAGTGCATCTGCACTACAGATACCACTTCAGTAAATTTAGGAGGCTTGATACCACATCAAACTTATATCAGTGTGAGTGAGTGCTTCTTATAGTCCTGCAGGATTATTGGTGAGAGTTAATCATTTTACAGCGACTGGAATGGCCTTTGGAGTCATAGAGCTGCTCATAATTTTTTTTCAAAATCCTAGGAATTTCAAAATATATATCTTTTCTTTCAGACCAGTGTTTGACAATCAGGTTTTCTGTCCTACGGCAGTGCAGATAATTTGTACTATTGCTCAGCAAGTCAAGATCAACATTGTGTTAGACATGAGTTCTCCATCTGTTACTAAAATTGACATTCTTGATCATCTAATGTTAAACATTGCACCAAATCTTTTTGTTTTTATACCTATCATACAGCTGAGAATAGGTGAGACAGTGGAAGGATTAGATTTTTAATGCTAAAAGGACGGTGGTTTGAAAAAAAAACAAACAAAAAATGCTGAATTTGCAAGAACATGCACCAATTCTACAAAACGGGCTGCTGAAATTCTAGTTGACTTCATGAACTGCACTACTCGGAAAAAGCCCACCCAGTACTCCCCTGTTACACTGCTGCCGTTTAGATGGTTTTGCCATGTAAGTGCGGAACAGGCAGGAGCTGTCGGGGTGCGGCTGCAGCCTTTCCCCGGCGCAGAGCATCCAGAGGGGCTCCGGGAGTGGCTGGGGAGCAGGCAGCGCCGCCTGCTGGGCACGGCTGGCACAGCAGCGCTGAGCTCCGGGATGCACTCCCACCCGACCCCACTAATTAATTTCAGTCTGGATCTAATAAAAACACCAGTTACCCTTTTCCACTACCAGCTCTTCATTCCCTAACACAGGCCCTAACAGAGAAAGTGGCAAAGTAGAAAGAAGGACCTGGTTAATCCTATTGCAAAGTGGAATCTGAAAGTCCTGGAAAGCTTCTGACTATCAAAGAGATTATTTTTGCTGATGAAAAAAGATGATGTTTTGACCAGGCCAAATGTCTGTCAACAAAGGTGGTGCATTCTTGTGAGTCACTATATAAGAAATTTAACCATCTTGTGCACCTCAGTTATAGCCAAATACACAGCAAATGTCATTTAAGCAACAATAAGAAGTGTTTGTAGCCATTACACTCCAGCAAGCCTTAGCAACAAAGCTTCCTTATCTTTCCTGGTGCTAAGTCCTGAAATAAGAGTAAATCAGCTTCAGCTTTCCACCACTATCATGTGTCCTGTTGCCTGGTGCTAGAAGAGTTCACAACTCTGCCTGAAGGAATGAGCAGCCTAAGTTCAGTAGCGAAAGACAGAACGATGTACAGTGAGGTGTGGAAAAATTTTGGTTTGCCATTATCAATGGTGCAAGCCTTGAGAACTGCTACAGAAAGTAACACTGTGGTTGGATTCCCAGGTTTTCAGATCAGAGGTTGAAGAACAACAATTTCTTAGAAAATCAGACCTAGAGTGCACATGCTAGAGATTGCATGTCAGTGGTGCCTCACCTTTTCATAAAGAAAAAGGTTAAGGAAATTGTGCTAGTGGACACAATTTCAGCATGAAAATTTGAACACATTTATGTCACTTACTTGATCCAGAAACATGCCAGTCTTTACATTCCCTGATCGCTATGTCATTGTCTAGACTTATTTTAATTCTTCCACTGTGTGCTTTATTATCAAACACAATCTGTATTAAAAACAAAAACAAATGAAAATAGGTGCGTATCTTTATAAAGTTAAACAATTACGTATGTAGCCCACTGTATTGCTAAGCCTGCATAATGATGCAGAAAAATTCTCCTAGGGGAGAAGTTACAAAACTTTTCCTAAGCTTAAACTAATTCCAGTATCTTCAAATAAATGCTGTCAAAATGAAAGACAAATGTGCTGAACTATGTATTTGCCAAAAATTGTTCAATCAACCAATTACTAGGTGAAATTATTTTAATCTATATCCTCATTCCTCTATGATCTTTCCCAGAAGCATCTCTCTAAAGAGAAGAGATTTACACTTCCATTATACTTCAGATGGATTAGAGCACAAGTGGCTGTAAGCCAAGCAAGTACTTCAGGACCACATCAGGAGCACTGAAAGCTTAACCTCCAAGAGTGACAACTGCTGGTTATTTGCAGGCTACACTAAGCCATAACAGAGTAATCCAGGCACCACTGACCCAGGGGTACTCAACACTACAGAAAATACCTGTGCTGACTGTGCTGTAAACCAGCAAGTCATTTTGTGGTTTTGAGCAGAAAGACATGTGGCAGGCTTCCACATACCCGCAGAGTGAAATCGTAACAGTCGGGGAGCTCGTGGTGACGAACGGTCTGGAGATTGATTGCCTTCAGATTGAACATGAGCTGCACCGCCACCAGCCTGCAACAGAGCTTCAGGTCAGCCTTGCACAGGGAAAATGCACCAATACCCCAACACAGGAGGTGTTCGTTCCTCCTCACCTGGGGAAATCCAGAGTGAAATTCAAATTGTGCTTTCCCATTGTTGTGTTGTCTAATGAAGTCGTTGGCTCAATGTACAAGCAGTCTGGAATGGATAAGGACTCACAACAATATCTCATGGATTATCAGGTTCTTTAACCGTAATCTGCCTGTCCCACTCCCGAGGCTGTTATGAGCTGTTGGCTACACCAGACAAGATAGCACACTTGAGTGAGGAGTCATCTGAGAAGCCAACTGGCAAATACACTGGCTTCCCTGAACAGCAGCCAGGTTATTCATCATGAATTCACAGGGAACACTCCTGAAAATTAGCCCCAAATACTTGTACTAGATGGTCATCAGTGCTAAAGGCTCCTCACTTCTTTGTGGCATCAGACATTGGAGGTGAGGGCTAGAGGTTACTTACACAGAACTTTTCTTACTGGTTTTGGCTGGTAGTAAGTTCAATACAGATCATGCGATAAGACTATACCGTACTGTAAAGTTTTTTAAGGAATTTATCAAAAATGTAGGTCTCGTCCTCCCAAAGAACTGACAAAATAGATTAGGTTCATCACCAGTCACAATCTCTGGGTCTATATCAAAGGTGTCATTTCCAGGACAGATGATTCCTCGCTTGTAGAACTGCTGACAAACAGACAGAGGCGTCTCTTCTGTTCCCCTCTTCTCATAAGCATGATTTCCAACAGAGATGTTGGGCAGCTGAAGGTACTAAAGTTCAAAACAAACAAACCAATTTAAATAGCAATAAAACTGTTAGTCTATGAGAAAAAACAAACAACAACAACAAAAAAAAAACAAAACAAAGCAAACCAGAAGTGGTCATAACCCATCTCTTTTATTTAAAAGGTCACCTAAAGAACTATGAAACCTAAACCACACAACAGCTGAGTCCTCAAATCTCTTAAGGTATTTGACAAAAACACTAACTACAGGATTTGGATCTAAATACCTTTTTGCTTATTATGTTTTTCTCCTTACAATCCTTACTAGAAAGCCAAACTTGTTACTTGCAAAGAATTCTGGCTCAGATCCAAGGAGTGCTTTTAGTGTAGAGCTAGTACATTGATTGGCTTTAAGGATGTTACCTCATTACAGTGCTCTAGCAATGAAAGAAAACCTAAACAAGTTGATGCTTTAGTCTTAGGCAATTGACACAGAAGTTAAATTTTAAAAAAGGTACCCAGCCAAAGATCATATATATTGTACATATTGCAGCAACAATTCCTACCTGGTTTATTGCAAAGAATATCTGGTCATAAACATCTGTTTGTGTGTATACAGCATAGGTATCATCCATTCTGTCCATATATCCTTTCAAGAACAGATGTTTGAATGCAACAGTGTTCTCTTCTTTGAAGGCAACCACCATTTGATTGCTCAATCCAAAAACCACCAGCTGAAAAAGACATTTATATTTTCTGTTCAAAGAAAAAGTTGGCTTCTGGATTAACATATGAACCCTGTTTTATGAACAGCCAGTCTTCTGCCTCACTGGTAGACATGGCAATTACATGCAGGCCACTCCATTTCACAGCTGGTCAAATGAAAGTTTGGCTTTAAGGAAGCAAAGGGTTTCACTAATGTGTGCCTTCAACATGTTTACAGCATCTTGGCCAAGGACTTGAATTTTTAGGAAGAAAATGATGCCATCTCAGGTTCCAGCTCCCTATACTGTTACACATGCTTTGTTAGTCTGGCCTGGCGTCAATTGACTTGCCCTGGGGGAATATCATTATTCCTCAGCCAAAAAGGCAGGATAAGACTTAACAAGATCCCACTTTGAAGTCCTTACTCCAGTGCACAAAAGGGAGATTGAGGACAACTCAGGAGAACAAACATCTCTCAATCAGGTTTCAATGAAAAGCGCTTTGAGAATAACCCACCAAAGCTGTGCTTGCAACAGGATAACACCTGAAGCTGGTAAAATAAATATATTGCAACTGTTCATAAAAAGTGAGCACAAAACTCACTACTACTACTACTAGTCACTATCCAGACTAGAAAACGTTTCTAGAAGTACATGATGTACTGTTCCTGGGAGCTTACAATTCTCTTGACTATTGTTTCAAATCTGGTGTCAGGTGTAGTGTGAAGAAACTCATCAGAGATAAGTCTGAATCAGTAGTCTACAGATTAGTTTTATGGCCATGGTGCAAACTGGAGATGCAGGTTTTGATAAGGGTAACTCAGTTACAGAGATACTGAAATGCTCTGTAGGCAAGCTCAGTGTGCTCAGCACACAGGAATATACCAGCAAAGCAACACTGCTCAGACTGAATTACCTACAGACACGTTTTCTCTGAAAATACAAAATTTGCATTAGTTTCTTTTTTATTTGGATTCTTTCATCACTAACTCTTACTTTTAGTTGCAAAAGGGGAGAGATGGCAATCAGAGAATGAAGTACATTTGAAAATGAAACAGTAAGGGACACAAACATGGTGCCAGATGCACAGCAGGAGAACTCTTATTTCTGCAGTTTGTGCCATCATTCATGCAAATGGAAAGAAAACGTTCTTTTCTATACATGTACTGTCATAGCACATGACCATAAAGGGAGATCACATCTGGGCAGCTCTGAAGGATCATCTGGGGCCTTAGAAAGGCTTTATAAAAACTTTCTTCTGCCTTAACCACAGAACTCTGAGACAAACAATTGTGTTTTGAGCAGCAGATAAATGTGTTATATGAAATCTGTGGTGCAAGGCCGGGTGAGAGAAAGAGCGAGGAAAAATTTCTGAGGTTTTTTTCAATGCAAGAGTTTGTACGCCATATGCGAGATACAAGTGAACATCATTAAAAGGTCACCAATTTAATTTCTTATCACTGTGATATTGAAACAGAAACGACTTTTCCTTCCCTCAAACACAACAGTGAAGCAGGCACTTGGGTAACAGACGTGTAGGGATGCCATCCTTTGGGGGGAAAAATGGCAATGAAAAAAAAGTAAAGTAAAAAACCAAGTTGAGCCCTTAAACATGATTCCTTTTATCTGTACTCCTAGAATACTATTTTTTTCAGTCCATAGTTTTAGGAGAAAATTATGCCACCTGAGATCTAAGCTACATATATGCAAATAAGAATTTTGCAATCTATTCTTTCCCTTTCTCTGCACCACACCATGAATAGCATGTCACCTGCATTCATTTGACTTCCCATAGGCTGAGTCCCTCCTTTCATAGGTACTCACCTGAACTGTAACCATTACTATTTTGAGTAACTGAATCCCAAGTTTCCAAGGCTTTCTGCCCCGGGCCCAAAATTTCTCACATGGGTTCATGAAGAAAAATTTTAACTTCCTTCTAAGCTGGTCTTCCAAAATCCCCTCCTGTGATACTGATGAGTGTCGTTTGTAGCTGCAAAGGTTTTCCTCATCATGAGCGCTGCAGCTGCTCACAGCCACTTCAGGATTTTCCATTTCTGAAAAGAAAAGTAGTCCTTGTCAGTTGAAAAACATGCAAGCACCAATGCAGTAGCAGCAGATCAGTCTGCACTAACAACCCAGACTCCAAAGGCATTTGTTGTCTGTGAAAGGCACTTACACTTTATAGTGACTTTCACACCTTTCTCATTGCACATTTTCTGCAGAACTCCAAGAAAATTATGGGCAAGTTTTTAAATTTGCAGCTAGGCTGCCAGGACACTTATTTAATAGTGGAATTGCTGTCCATTTGGAATTACAGGGTCAGTTCCTGAAAATGTCTTCCTCTCTCACTTGACAACAACAGCATATGTGCAAGACATCCTGACTCAAGAAGAGCATCAAAAGCCTCTCATGAGCATTCACGCTTTGGGAAAATTTATCTATTGCTGTAGCTAGCATTTTCCCCCACACCTACAAGCCTGTGTCAAATCCCTGAAAGAAATGGAATTCTCAAGAGGCAGCGGTTTTCTTATGCATTATAAAACTCTATTAGCACAGTTCACTCTTGGAAATGGAGATGGACCATGACAAATTGCAATTCACATAAATTACCTGAGAGCATTAACTTGTCATGTGGCAGGATTATGACTTTTTCTTTGGCCATGAAAGACCCAATGCAAACCACCAGCAATGACGAACCAAACAAAAGGACCACAAGGTAATTGAATCATGATTAGTTGAAGAGGCTTACATTTGAGTTCAGTATGAAGGGAAAAGATGAGAACCTTAAAAGTACGTTTTGAGACATTACTCTGCATAGTATTCATCATGTTTATGTTTTGATCTGTTACTAAATTCACTGACTCCCAAATATTTTATAAACACTTTATAAAATAATTAAGAACTAGCCAGGAATATTGATTTCAGATAAAAGGCTGATGACATTAAGAACAGAGAAGACAGCCTAGGCTCTGAATAAAGGTGTGCCTTATTAGACAGTTTATTTTTGATTCCCATAAGAATGGTTTTGTATGTAACTCAAACAAAACATCATCATCAGGACTGGTTTTTACAAATGTCCAGTCACATCCAGTCTCCTCCAGCAGCCCCTGCACAGAGCAGAACAACAGTCTGTTTCAGATATGACTTGAGACCTTCAATTTCCCCAATTGTCAGGCAAAGCAAGAAAAGTTTTGAGTCAGCAGTGTAACACTAAGAACAGGCCCATACAGAGAGCAAATAAAGTTCAGCTCCTGTTTTATCGGACTTCCATTGTCCTGCAGGATAAAGTACAATATGCTGTGGTTGTCACTCATCTTCCTCATAGCTGATCCAGCATTTCTAAAACTGAGCTCTATTCTGCCACTGAAATAGTCCTGTCAATACCTGTGCTGGATTAAAAAAAAATAATAATAATAAATAATAAAAATACAACAACAAAACACAAAAAAAACCCCCCAACAAATAACCAAAAAACCCGGACCCACTTCTGGCCCTCACGGTGGGCTTGGGCTGCCGTTCCCACAGGCGCAGCTCCGTGCTGCCCCACAACCCGGGCCGGGCCCTTCCCTCAGCCGCCCTGCCCTTGCCAGCCGCTGCAGGCGGCTCCCAGCCCCCGCGGGCTGCCGCAGCCCTGCGGAT